AGGCTTGCTTGACCCCCCCCCCTTCAAGTGTGTTGTAAAAATGACTGTCCATAAAATATTTTTATCATAGAGATAGTTCTGGTACTTATGATAATTTTAATGTCTGTCTTTTATATTCTCCTTGGTCCAAAGCACAAACAATATAGTTGAGAGTCTGCATGGAGGAAAGTTGCTAATTTTCGTGGCCCCGGAAATGAGAGCAAAAGGTGGGAAGGAGGTGAGATGTGTGATGCACCCTTCCAGGTTGTTCCTGTAGCAAATCACCGATTTTAATCAGGCCCGACTCCTAACAGTTCTTTCAGCTATGGCTTCACCTGTGGTTTACTGCACTGATGAGTATAGCATTCCAGTGATCCAATTACCTTCCACGTGTCCACCTTTTTTTTGATGAAATCTCTAGATCTAAACCATATCATTCTTTCCTTCACCCCAAACGACTTATGTCCATCTCTTTAGGCAAAATGCATTTGTCCATCTCTATGATTTATCAAAATATTAAAACTCTCAGCACAGATGAAAAGCTGAGTGCACAGTCTCCTCTTAGACTCAAGGCAAACTCTTAGCTATAAACTCCTGCAAACATAGAGGTAAGCCCTCTGGATACACAGAGACAAAGTCTAAATGTTCCCATTGTGAAAGAAGTAGGTAGGTAGAAGGAATAGAACCAAAGCAATGAAGGGAAAAACAAACAAACAAACAAACAAACAAGCAGAGCACACATTACATATTGCAGCTCCATGTACAACTTGGGACAAGTTTTAAGGAGTTGTGATTTCCAAGGGACTTGGACAGTCCTGCCTCTGTGGTATTGTCACTGTGGTCCTCCTGGCTTCTCTCTCAGGAAGATATTGCTCACTATCTTGGTTTTCCTGTGCAGATACTTCCGGTTTCTGCCATCTCCAATTCCTGGATTCCTCCCTGAACATTCATCTTTATTCTCACGGTTTCACACATTGCTGTCTCAGGGACACACTCCCTAGCCTTCCACAGCGGCCTCCCAAGTTGTGGTGGAAACCTTTAGGACACCTCACCTCTTGAAGTCTGCATGTCTGTAAAACCAGCGCTCTGTGGATGAAACCAAGGACTGCCGCCATCTTGAAAGGTAGCCGTGCCCTCTAGGATTGCGGCTGCAGGGCTCTGAGTACCTGGATGGCTGAACTCTGGAAAACTGGTTCCTTGTTAACCCTAAATTAACTGGGATCCCTGGGGCTCCTTTTCTTTTTTAAAAAAATTTATTAGTACAATTTAGATATGCATAATGATTCCATTCTTTATAGGGAATTTGTAACTGTGTGGTATATCTTGATACTTCTTTTTTCTCTCCGTACCTTCCCCTCCCTTCAAACCATCTTCTCCTCCTTATTTACAAAGCTTTGTTTCCAATTCTCCTTCTTTATTTTTTATCTTTTTTCCTCCCTTCATTTCACTCCTACCCCCCCAGTTTCTCTTTTCTTTTGAGCAATTTCTTCCTATTTCTCAATATATATATATATTACCTCTTTGTTCTTATTTACACTTTCATTTTCTCACACCAGAAAGACAATGCAATATTTATAAGTGTGTCCAATTTATTTCACTTAAAAGTATGGTCTCAAGATTCATCCATTCACCTAGAAATGTCTCACGTTTGTCCGGTGTGGCTGAGATGTAAGCCATCATATAAGAGAACCACATCTTCTTATCCATTCATTGATTGATGTGCTTTGGGATGTATCCAAGATTTAGCTCTCACAAATATGCTGCTAAAAACATGGTTCTGCTTATATTGCTGTGGTATGATGCTTTCCAACTCTTTTGGGAAAGTACCCAGAAGATTCATAGCTGGGTCTGATGAGACTTCCAGTTCTAGTTTTTTTGAGGAATCTCCACAGTGATTTCCACAGTGCTTTCACCATCTATACTCCCACCATCAGTGGCAAAGAGTTGCTTGCTAACTTCCCAAATTTTTATTGGCTGATGTCTTGATAATACCCATTCTTTCTGGAGTTAGATGGAATCTCAGCATTATTTTTACTTGGATCTCTAAAGGACTAGTGATATTGAACATTTTTCATATATTTATTTGCCCCTTCTTCTTCTTCATCTGAGAAGTAAGTATTCATCTCAGATGCCCATTCTTGCATTGGGTGTTTAAATTTGGGGTCTAATTTTTTTCACTTCCTCATATGTACTAGATATGAGTCCTTTGCCTGAGGGACAACTGTTTAACAAGTTTTCCTGTGATGTGAGTTGCTTTTTTCACTCTTTTGGTGATTCCTTTTGCTATGAAAAAACTTTTAATAAGATGAGATCCCAGTTGATGATTTTTTTTGGTAGTATTTCTCTTACAATTAGGGTTTTGTTTATGAAGTTTTTAACTCCATCTATGTCTTCAAGAGTTCTACCTATTCTCTCCTCTAGCACATTTAGTATTTCTGTTTCGTTATTATTTTCTTTGGTCTATTTGGATGTTAGTTTATTGAGTGGTGAGAGATGTGTCTTCAGAGTGTGGAAAGCCAGGTTTCCCCTTTGTTTCTCAGCTTGTCACCTTTGAGCCAATAATAAGTGAGATATTGCTGATTCCTAAGAAGCGTTCAAGACATCTTTCTCTGTTCATTATATAAAATAGGTAGCTTCCTTTTAATTCTAGTATTTTCCACCAACCTTTGAAAGTCCCTTATTTTGGAGGTGCTTTTCTCATGGAACTGCAAACTTTCCAATTTTGCTTTTTCTTACTCTTTCTCATTGAAAACCTGGCAAAAATTTGGTAGCAGTAGTCTTGCTACAGCCTAAAGAGAACTTGTTTTTCTCACTTAGATTACTTTTGTAGGTGATAGTGGCTCTTTCTCCAGAGCACACAGCTAAGGTGACTAGAGACTTCTTTTTGGCACTGTCAATTTCAACTATACAATTCACAAGACAATATAAACATGGAATCCATTGAACCCATATGAATGTGTACACAGTTCAGTTTTCACTGAAAGTACTTTGTGTAATGATTAAGCTTTCCTTGATGAAAGATTCTCTCAAGTACACAAGTATGATGAGACAGTATGGGGCCCTTCTGTCAGGCACCTTGGTCAGAAAAACAAGCAGCATTTTCCCCTTCCTTTCTTCACATCAGGCAAAGAGCAACAGAAAGTGCAAGGTCCAAATGGAGATCCCATCTTCCCTATACACATCTGAGTCACTGTAGCTGAACTTTCTCTTCTCCTGAGGATCCTTTAATAGGAACTCTGGGAGGTGGAAACTCCGTGGGAAAGGATTATGCAAAGCAGGTTCAGTTAGAGTCCAAATAATTAAAAAAGCAGAGCACTTCTGTTTCCATTCTTCCTTATCAGCTGCATTGTTAGATACAGCTACCTGCAGTGTTTTCCTGAAACAAATGACAAAACAGTGTACCATAGCATACCAAACTAAAAAGGATAGCTGGTAGGAGGCCTCCATTGTGAAACATGCCAGCTTTTCAAAATAAAAACCAGAAGGATTTAAGGGGTCTGGGTGGGAAAAATCAGTGACATGAGAATATGTTACAGTGGAAATATACCTAGGAGAGTGTAAGCATTTAAGATTAAACCAGGAATTTTGTAGCTTGTTTCCTTTTTGAGAAAATAAAGCAGGATATAAAGTATGATGTGTTTGAGTCTTAGAGTATAGGCACAGCTAATATTTTGGTTTTGGGTAAAGTTGTGTAGTGAGGATCTGGAAGATGTGTAAAACCCATGAGCACTAAGATTTCTATAGTGCTAGTATTATGTCACCATTCCAAATACTTTCTCGATCAAGAAGTTGCTCTCTCATTCTTTTGTTGCTCTACACTATATATTAATGGATTTTTTTTCCAAACTATCTCTGACTTGCTCTCACTTCCGCTTTTTCCCCTTCTGAATTTTTTAAATTTAACTGTAACCCTTGTTTAATCTTACAGGTAGAGTATGGATGTTTCTAAATCAGTATGTGGACCAGAACAAGCTTGAAGGTGTGACACTCCTGAAAGATCTAGGATTGTAGCCATGCACTAGGCTGCACCACTTCATTTTCAAATAAGCAAATTTGGATTAATTTAAATGCTACAAACTTGTATGGTAATTTTGAAGAAATTAAAATTCCTGTTGGCTTTTTGAAAATCTAATGATGGTTTTCCTCACATTGTACTTTTTTATGCTTTGGGGACTGTTGAATGATTGTTGTCAATTAAAAATCAAGGAACAAAAAATCCTGGAACAAGTTTCTGGCACCTCAGAAAGACCCAGAGCAAAGTAGAAGTTCTTTGAGCAGTCCTTACAGGGAAGATGTGGTGACTAATTGGTCAGCTGGATTTTCTCATGGACAAGTAAGGAAAATCCCTGTTCCTTGTATCTTGATGTCACAGCTGGATTCAGAAGGAGACTTTGGAGCACCAGGTTTCAGTCTCTCCCTTGTCTTGTATCAATCACAGAGGAGGCCCCCTCCTTCATCAGGACACCCAGCACCTGCCTCCTGAAGTTCATTCCTCACATATGCATCTCCAAAAAGGCAAGACCTTGAGAGACACCCTCAAGAAGCTAGCCTCTTTTCTTAAAAAGAAGGGAGTGGCAAAAGTAATATAGATTCAGAGAAATGGGATTGGAAAAGAGTGCTCATATTATATTTATAGTATATACAAATGTATGCAAGTTAGGATACTGAAGACTAAAGGAAACAAAACATGTCTTCTCTCTGTGAGCATAGCCTTGTTCCTTGACCAGAATGTGATTTTTCCATCATTAGTACACACAAGATGGAAAACAACTGTGGCAGTGGGCTTTTCCCAAGTCACCATATATTTGTTGAAAATCCCAGAACCACCCTGTCCAGATCAATCCTCAGTTGAAGACAGCAGCATCAGCACCCACAGCTACTCTGCACAGGCTGCCATAGAAATGGCTCTGTGATAACCTCATCCCATCAATATTATGCACATATCTACCATTCACTCTTGGGGCGCAAATACCCTTGAATAGCTTTCAGTGCTGGCTCAGCTGGGAGATCAGTTGGGAGGTTCACTCACATGTAAAACCCCTGTCAGGTCCCAGCCACTCAGGTGGAAGCAGCTGGTCTCTGAGGAGCTGAAGGGGTTTTTGTTGCAGTGTGTAGCACTGTGTGGATGGATAGCTACTACCCTGCTGACAGTAATAGATTGCAGCATCTTCAGCCTCCACATTGCTGATTGTGAGAGAGTAAGAGGTCCCTGATCCACTTCTACTGAAGCGAGCTGGGACTCCAGAGGCCAGTTTGGAGGTGCCATATACCAAGAGCTTGGGAGAGGCTCCTGGCTTTTGTTGGTACCAGTGCAACCCACTGGTGCTTATACTGGAGCTTGCCGTGCAGGTGATGGTGACCCTGTCCCCTGGGGAAGCAGCCAGGGATTCTGGAGACTGGGTGAGCACAGTTTGTCCATTGGACACTGGTCAAGTGGGTGAGATGAAAAGAGATAGAAGTTAGTACCAATAGAGACACAGGATATCTTAATGCCACACAGTATACAGAGCTTCATTTCCATCTTACCTGTGACACTGACCAGCAGCAAGCTCAAAATTTGAGCCTGAAAATCCATTTTGTTTCTGAGCTCTTCCCCAGGCTAAGCAGTCCTGTTCTCTCATGATCATCCCTTAAAAGAGCTCTGAATATGTTGTGGTTTCTGAGGAACCAATATGCAAATAATCAGATGCAGGCTAGGGGGATTTTGGTTTATACGCATATGGTCCTTTCATATTTCTGCAGAAGTTCAGTTGGCATAAGAGAAAGTAGTTCTCGGTATTTTCTCTGAGTAGGCGCATACACCTGGTCTAGAGTGTTATTTATTGAAGTTTTTACTCTTTATTTGTTTTTAGTACATGACTGCCACCCATAATGATCACTTTCATCATGTGGAATTTGTACTTGTACATAATATATGTTAGTCCTTTTTTTCCCGTTTCCCTCCACTCCTTTGAATAATTTCCCTCTCCTCATTTAGAAAAGCTGTTTCCATTTTTTCCCTTTTAGTCTCTCTCTTTTTTTGAAAGTCCCTTTTCTCTCCTTATTTCCTTTTCTTGTTCCTCTTCCCATTTTACATAGTCCTTCCTACTTCCAATATCTATTTTCGCCCTTACTTACACTTTGGGTTTCTCACAGAGGAGAAGTAATATGATATTTAAACTTGAGTATCTCATTAATTTCACTTAAGATTATGGTCTGAAGATGCATCCATATACCTAAAAACATCTCAAGTTTATTTTTTCTCATCAATGGGTAGTTCTCCAGTGTACATGAATACCACCTTTACTGTATCTATTCATCTGTTGAGGGGCATTTAGGCTATCTCCATGATGTATGTTCTATGAATTGTGCTCCTGTAAATATGGTTATTCATGCAACACCATGGTATGCTGTTTATAACTCCTTTGGATATATACCTAAAAGGGGATTAGCTAGGTCACATGGAACCCGCATTTTTAGTTTTTTGAGGAATGTGGTCATTGGGGAAATGCAAATTTAAATAACAGTGAGATTACTTTTCACTCCAAAAGCAATAAGTATCATCAATAATTCAATCAAAAACAAATATTAAGTAACATGAAAAACCAAATAAGCACTAATACAATTGTAGTGGGGGATTTAAATACCCCACTATCACAAATTGACAGATCTACTAGGCAGAAAATCAACAATGAAATAATAGAACTGAACCAAGCTTTGGAACACATGGACTTAATAGATGTTTATAGAGTATTCCACCCCCAAAAACCAGAATATACATTCTTTTCGGCTGCACATGGATCATTCTCCAAAATAGACCACATATTGGCTCACAAAACAGGTCTAAATAAATGCAAAAAAATTGAAGTCATCCCCTGTTTATTATCAGATCATAGTGCAATCAAACTAGACATCAATAGCACAAGAAACTATAGAAACTTCACAAGCACATGGAAACTGAACAACACTCTCCTAAACAATCAATGGATTACAGAGGAAATTAAAGAAGAAATTAGACAGTTTTTACAAATAAATGAGAATGCCAATACAACATACAGGAATCTTTGGGACACAATGAAAGCAGTTCTACGTGGAAAATTCATAACATTGAATGCCCACACTAGGAAAACAGAGCGGGCTCAAATAAACAACTTAACGATGAAACTTAGACTCCTAGAAAAACAAGAGCAAGAAAAACCCAAAGCTCGAACAAGAGAGGAAATTATAAAGATCCGAGCAGAAATCAATGCAATTGAAATTAAGAAAACGATACAAAAAATAAATGAAACAAAGAGCTGGTTTTTTGAAAGAATAAATAAAATTGACAAACCCTTAGCTAATCTTATCAAAAAAAGGAAAGAAAAGGCTCAGATCCATGCAATTAGGAATGAAAAAGGCGAAGTCACAACAGATCCGAAAGAAATCCAGAGGATCATGAACACCTACTTTGAGAACCTGTACTCTAATAAAATGGAAAACACAGAAGAAATGGACAGATTTCTAGATACTTATGAATTACCAAAGTTGAACGAAGAAGATAAAAACATTTTAAACACCCCAATCACAATCAGTGAAATTGAAAATGTAATTAAAAACTTACCAACAAAGAAAAGCCCAGGCCCTGATGGATTCACTGCTGAATTTTACAAGACATTTAGAGAAGAACTACTACCATTACTCTTCAAACTTTTCAATGAAATTGAAAGAGAAGCTATACTTCCAAATTCATTCCTGGAAGCAAGTATCACTCTGATTCCCAAACCAGAGAAAGATACAACCAAAAAGGAGAACTACAGACCAATCTCCTTAATGAATATAGATGCAAAAATCCTTAATAAGATACTAGCAAACAGAATACAGAGGATTATTAAGAAGATCATCCATCATGACCAAGTCGGATTTATTCCAGAGATGCAAGGGTGGTTCAACATACGAAAGTCAGTGAATGTAATACATTATATTAACAAAGTCAAGGACAAAAACCATATGATCCTCTCAATAGATGCAGAAAAAGCATTTGATAAAATTCAACACCCATTCATGATAAAAACCCTGCAAAAAATTGGAATAGATGGTCTATACCTCAATTTAATAAAGGCTATTTATGAAAAACCATCAGCCAACATCATATTGAATGGCCAAAAACTGAAAACCTTCATGTTAAAATCAGGAACAAGACAAGGATGCCCACTATCGCCACTTCTCTTCAATATAGTTCTGGAAACATTAGCCACAGCAATTAGACAAGAGAAAGAAATTAAAGCAATAAAGATAGGAAAGGAAGAAGTTAAACTATCATTATTTGCTGATGATATGATACTCTACATTGAAGATCCAAAAAACTCCACCAAAAAACTTCTAGACTTAATTGACAGATTCAGTAAAGTATCTGGATACAAGGTGAATACCCAAAAATCAATAGCCTTTCTATACACAAATAACAGACAGACAGAAAGAGAAATAAGGGAAAAAATTCCTTTTACAATAGCATCCAAAAAAATGAAGTATCTAGGAATCAATCTAACAAAAGAAACAAAAGATCTCTACACTGAAAACTACAGCACTCTGAAAAAAGAAATCGAAGAGGATATAAAAAAATGGAAAGATATCCCCTGCTCCTGGGTAGGAAGAATCAACATAGTGAAAATGGCCATACTACCGAAACTGCTATATACATTCAATGCAATGCCAATTGAAATTCCAACACTATATTTCACAGAACTAGAAAAAAGAATCCAAAAATTCATTTGGAACCACAAGAGACCTAGAATAGCAAAAGCCATTATAGGCAACAGTCACATGGCACCAGGTGTAACAATTCCCAATTTGAAACTATACTACAAAGCCACTGTGATAAAATCAGCATGGTACTGGCAAAGAAATAGGCCTGAGGATCAATGGAACAGACTGGAAGACACAAAAACAAATGCAGATGTACTCAGCTACCTCATCTTCGACAAAGGAGCTCACCATCCTCAGTGGAGGAAAGATAGCCTCTTTAATAAATGGTGTTGGAAAAACTGGATATCAACCTGTCACAGATTAAAATTAGACCCTTATCTTTCGCCATGCACTAAATTAAAATCCAAATGGATTAAAGATCTAAATATTAAAACAGAAACATTAAACTTGCTGGAAAGTAAGTTAGGCAGAACTCTGGAAGACATTGGTATAGGAAAAGACTTTATGAACAAATCCTCAGTAGCACGGGAACTAGCAGAAAGAATCAACAACTGGGATCTCATCTTACTAAAAAGCTTCTGTACTTCAAAAGAAACCATTAGCAGAACTAAGAGACAATCTACAATGTGGGAAAAAATTTTTACCAGCTGTACCTCAGACAAAGGACTATTATCAAGGATATATAAAGAACTCAAAACAATCAGTCCCCCCAAATATAAAGACCCGATCCAAAAATGGGCATCCGAAATGAACAGACATTTCTCATACAAAGAAGTGAAAGCAGCAAGAAAATATATGAAAAAATGTTCCACATCACTGGTCATTCGAGAGATGCAGATGAAAACAACACTGAGATTCCACCTCACCCCACAAAGAATGGCTGCTATCAAGAAATCACACAATAACAAATGTTGGCGGGGTTGTGGGGAGAAAGGAACCCTCCTCCATTGTTGGTGGGAGTGCAGACTAGTGCAACCACTATGGAAATCAATATGGAGATACCTCAAAGAGCTTGGACTGGAGGTTCCATTTGACCCAGCCATCCCTCTGTTGGGTATCTTTCCAAGAGAACTAAAAGAATCATATCACAGAGAAGTATGTGCACCCATGTTTATAGCGGCACAGTTTGTAATAGCTAAATCTTGGAAACAACCTATTTGCCCATCCGTTGGAAACTGGATAAAGAAGTTGTGGTTTTTCTATAAAATGGAATATTACTCAGCCATAAAGAGCGAGAGAATAGATTCATTCATAGGAAAATGGATACATATTGAAGATATACTCCTAAGTGAAATAAATAAGTCCCACATGTGTAAATACCAAATAGTTTCCCTGGTGTGAATATTCTGCAACAATGCATAAGATTCTAATAAGATTACTGACATTTAGAAATGGGAGGAAAGGAGCTAAAGGTGTAGGGAAGGTGTGATACGTAGGGGAAGAACAAAAAGGGAAAAGAAAAAAATGTGAGAGAATGAAAAGATGAAAATAAAGTGTTTGTAGATGGGGAGGGGAGGAGGGGGTGAAGGGAGGGCAGAGGTAAGGGGAAAAAAATGAGAATCAAGACTTGCCATGTAAAGGTACATGATCCCAACAATGAATGTAACTGTACTGTATCCCTAAATGTACCAATAAACTCAATAAAAAAAAAAAAATAATTCAATCAATAACAGGCTGTGCTGAAAAGGAACACTTCTCTACCTGTGGTGGAATGAAAAGTGCTATAACTACTGCAGGAATCACTTAAAATCTTTTTATTCACTTATTAGTGTATGTTGGTAATACAGTATGTTGAGTTTCATTTCAGTAAATTAGTACTTGCATTTAAAATATCTTAGTGTTTTTGTAAATATCACCTCTCTTTCCCATATTCTACCTTGCCTTTAACTCCAGCTATCATTTACTAGAGAACACAGGATTTCAAAGGAAAC